TAGAGCCTTTAAGTGTTGAAAGTGTAATCGAGATGTATCCTGAAAGACGCATAAAACTAGTGCGAGGCAGCCATTTCGATTATTTGACCGGAATTCGAGTTCTGAAGGTATGAACGGCCTTCTGAGTAATCTTTGTGTCATTGTAAAGCTTATGTAGGGGTTTTGGAAAACTAATCTCGAAATTGGGTTTTTATAAAGCAAATCACATTCTGTGCTTTTTATCAATTGTTGCGAAATATCTATAAATACTAGAACTACGAGGCATTCTGGAATTGAAATTGGTTTCTGCAGTTAATTGAGGAATGTATACTTGTCGGGAAAAACTAGAAATATTTTACAAAAAGAGAACTTGTTTCCTAAAAATGAAAAGTAAACTAAGAAAGGTGAAGGTACACCTTGAGGAAACCCTCATTGGACATGTCTTACACCACCGAAGCTTCCTTTTCGATATTTATCATCCAGTGGATCTGCTCAATAAATAATTCAAGCAAATCAAACTGACGGTGTTACTAAAAAAAAGGGAGATTTAATTATTTTGTTCTATCTTACTGCTTTCGTTCCCACCAACCCGCTGTATCCGCCCCGCCACGCCGCCGCAAGGCCCCCGCGCCCGTAGCTGCCAAACATCTCCAACTTCTTCACACAACGACGTTGTAAAATGTAAAAAATCGTAGAATCCGGCCTCCCAATTGGTCGATTTAGATTCGTGGATTTTTGGCATAAAGTGGCCCATTTAGGCATCATCCCTTAGCATTTCCTCATATCCAACCAGCCCATCGTAATCTAAAACATCAAAATCATATTCTGTAACCATAAGAACACCACAAAGCCTGCTCCATACCACCAAATAGTGCCCCCTCTTGTAGCGCCCTTTTTGTATGGGGCCTCGAGGTTCATGCCCAAAAACCCGTACCCCACACCTACACTATCAAAAGATGCCCCGATCCGCCAGAATCCAAAGGGGACCCCCTTTGGCCGGAGACAACAAAATGTTCAAAGTGGTTTTTCTCGACCTCAACAAGTCACAAAATGGTCATTGAGACACCAATCGAAAGCTAACACCCAGGAGAACCAACTGCACTGCCTAGTAGGCCGCACCTACCACTTCCTGAGGTGCTACGGCGGTTTTTCAAAAAGGACAACAAACACCATGTTTTGGGCATTTATTCGGCAACGACTAACGAATCCATCAAACTAAGCAGCTCATCGGAATCTTTGAATCGCGCCCATTCTAACGGTACCATTGGATCCCCCAAAATCGCCCTGCAAGTGCACTTTTTGCAGCCATTTCTTCCACACCCACATCCGCCAAAACCAAAAGTAGGTCGAAATCAACCATTTCGACGATATTGGTGCACGGGTGCCAAAATGTAACAAATCGTTAACAAAACCAAATTTCAGAAATTCGGACCGTCTTTGAACTCAAATAGCTCTACGACCAGAGCGACCTAGACCGAGCGGGTACCCGCGCCAGATCGGCATAATTTTTTCCCGTTGAACCGTACCAATAAGGAGTAGTAGGTCGTCTTAGACGGAAAGAAATTGAGTAGTTTTGTGGCATCCGCCGAAACTTTTCAAAAGTGTATAACAACGGCGGCGCTAGAGTGTACCGTATTGGTACGGTTTGGTAGGAAAAAATTATGCCCAACTAACCGTACCATTGGTTTTGACGGGCCATCATTGTGTGTGTAGCAGTAGGGCTGTAAAGTGGGTACCGATTTGGGAAAATTTGGAATTACGATAAATAGGGTGCAAACGGGAACCAGTGAGACAGAAGTGGTGGGGGTGGTACCGCCAAAACCGCACAAAAGAGAGGAATCGAACCATATGTGTGGGTTCTCCAACTGAGGCTTGTAATGTGCTGTTTGGTGGTGTTGTTGTCGGGTACCATGAACCTTGAGATTTGACATTCTTACTCGAAGGTGCCAGACAGAAAAGGGCCCGTTGTTAAGGTACTCTAATGTACCCCAAACACGCCCGTTATGTTTGATTCTTTCCTAGATGCCTACTTCCCGACCAATCACACAAAAACTAAATTTCGGCTGAAAATCACCACTCAATGGCTTCTTGAATCTGCACCACTCCCTCTTCAACACCCTAATTCAAGCAGAAGATACTTCCAGACGCCCTCTACCTACTGCACTCCTCCAACTCCAAAAAACTTCCATCCACGGTTCGTGCCACCAACTTGAAGTTTCTCACAACCTCCTCCCCCAAAGGGTCCCCCCTTTGAAAATGGCCTCCTCGACCGTTTTTCTCGATTTTGCAACCGCGCACCTTGGGAACCTCCAGGTTGGAGAACCCCCTCCAACCGATCCACCCAAAAAAAGAGAATTTCAAATAAACAACACGACCGTATAATTCAAGGCGGGAAATCCAGCATCCGTGAATCCCAAGTGTCCACCATGTCTGTGCACGGAGAAACACACTCCCCAAAGTGAGCTCCAATGAACCGAATCAATCTTTTGATTCCAATCGCCATAATATGTACATGTATCGATCCGCCGTGGCCCAAGCTTCCCAAAACCACCACCCATTACGTTCCCAGCTAACTATGCCACTGTAAATCAACCGGTTTGTCCAATTTGCTTACGTAATCAACTACCTTCTCTACCTTCTCTTGTCTTCCCAGACACCATTAACACAATTTCAAAACCACTCCCGGCATCCCCAGAACCGCCGCTTCAAGCCCATACCAATATTTCAATACCACCCAGTCTACTTCATATCGAACTTTATTGAAAACCCACCCTTCCCCGTCGATCTCCCCATCCAGACCACTGCAGCACCTGCAATTCACACTGGCTGCAAATTCGAACCCGCTCTTTCGATCGGTACCAAAACCTCGAATACCCATTTTTCGACCCAATCTTCGTGTCACCGACCGACCAACCTAGCTCTCGGTTCCGAGTCGCGGAAGGTCGGTTTTCACTTTTTTCGAAAAGTGCTCGAAAACCAAGGGTCCCCCCTTGAAAACCCGATTTTACCCCCCAAAGTAACAGGGTTTCTTAACTATGGGGATTTTCTTTGGCCCCGTCAAACCCACCATAAACGGCATCTCCGACACACCAAACTCACTGGGACAAAAACTAGACTCCCGAAACTACGCCCCCAACTGGTTATCCTGCCTCTACAAATTCACACCTCGTTGTTGTTGCCGTTGGAACTTTTGCGACCTCCTCAATCGCACCTTCCAGTGCCACTACACCCACACAACTCACACCCCACCATAACAGCCACCACAAGACACCTCCAAACCAACAAAACCTACAAAAACCTTCCCGCAACACCTCCAAATGAACTACCCTATCCCTCACCACTAGCACTCTCCTGCACCAAACCCGTACACCTCACCACTGCGAAACCCTCCATTTTCGCTCCACTGGCCCCAGGGTACCCCTAGGGCCCTCTGTCTCGAATCAAACAACCCGCTGTATCCGCCCCGCCACGCCGCCGCAAGGCCCCCGCGCCCGTAGCTGCCAAAAAAGCAAAATTGGATATTTATATATAGTCCCTTGGAATCTAATATTTTCCAGTAGTTGGCGAGATATCGGGGGCTTTAGGTATTAAGCATTTTGGCGGACCAAGTGAGCAGGGTTTGGGAAATCTTCTGGTTGAAGCTGCCAGAATGTAGGTTGTCCCTTAAAGTACGTACATCGGATATTTTGGAGACTTTTAGATTGTTGTGGGGCTAGAAAGGCAGCTATCTATTACTTTCAATCACTGCAGTGAGCTCAATCTCGAACTCCGGTGCCGTTCCTAGACCCGTACCTCTGATATCACTAGATGGGTCTGATACTCTGGATTAAGCCATTTGCTACTTCGTTGGCGTATAATTGTATTTTGATTCTATTGTCAACAATGTATCTCCATCTTCTTCTGGTGCTTCGATTATCCACCTTGTATCTAGCGTGTAAATTGGCTGTTCTACATCAACCCTATGCGAGCACACACTCCAAGAGAATTTTCCTACTTGATTTCCATATATTTTTCTCTCAATTTGAACCAATGGATCCGGATTTTGTAGCTAATGATATGATCAGATGACCGTTTTAATCCAAATTGCTGTACTGTCTGTACCTATTAACACAAGCGCATCTATGTTGTGAATGCTCTCATGCACTGAACGCTCTAAGTACCAATATAGAGTGCTCTTTACATTCACGTAGTAGTATCTTTTATTTAAATCTGGTTTACTTAATTCTTTTTGATTGAATAACTTTTGAAAGTTAAATCAGTTTATGTTCTGTGGCTCATTTGAAATCGTACTTACATTTCGTAACGCTCAGCCAAATTCACGATAGAGTTGAAATTTGCATCCATCAATATAATTCCAAATCTTCACTAATTATCTATCTAAATACATGATGACATTTCTCTACAGCCAAAATTCATAAATAAGGAGTTCCAGCTCTATAAGTGGCCAGAGTGTTACTTAAGCTTTGACTTCGTGCGATATACTGACAGACAGCATGGCTCAACACCTAAAAGCCGTATCACCCACTGATGTACGAGCCAACGAGCAATTTGTCAGCATATTCAGAAACCACTCACTTTCAATAAATCCTCATTCTGCCACCTCTCTCTTCTCAAGTCCGTCTTCCTGTGCGCTCTCTTTTCGGTGGCTTCGTCAATCTCGTCGAAGTAACTGGCAAGCTTGGTCACGGTCCATAATGGTTTCTCAGAAAGGGCAATGCGGTGGCGGCTCTAAGCGAGTCCAAGTAACCCTTGGAAGCCTTCTGTAAGTTTAGGCCTGCCGTCTTGAGCACCTTGTATCTTCTCTCTTCCATGTCAATGTCGATGGCCTTGTCGACATCCTTGACCATGACGGCACCGCCTGCTCTGTTAATTACTTGTTTCTCTAAATTTTGTTTTTGAACTCTCCCCACGACATTGTGTAATTAAGTGGGCTTTTGCAGTCCACTTGGGTCAATCCACCATGGTGGAGTGCACCTGGTGCACCCAAAACCAATTGAGAAATTATCAACACCTTCAGCACCATGTCCAAACCACAGAAACCCGTCAGGCAGGACTACATCGCCAAGGCACGGTATATAAACAACTTGCCGCCTCCGCCGCTCAATCCAAAGTTTCTCAAGTACAATTTGACCGAACATGTGCCTCCAGAAAAAGAATCTGAGCAGCTTTTGAGTTCGCTCTTCAGAAAAGAAAACTTCTCCCAGTTCATCGGCCAGGTCGACGAGGAGTACGGCATGCCGCTCAACCTTTTGAACAACGAAGGATACCTCAGTGGCGCCAACGAGGGAGCCATTTTCGGCTTGAACCTGGAAATCCAGCTTCACCCTAAAGACCGTGCTCTTTTAAGAGACGCAGGTATCGGCAGAGTCAACAAGCTGGAGCCCGGCGTGTCTTTCTTGAGAAGAACCGAGTACATAGCCGAAAATAAGGCCGCTGCTAAAGCTGACGATGCTCCAGAACCAAAGAAAGAGCACAAGGAGCTTGTGGATCCAGATTCTCAGCTTAAGGCCGTGGAAGAGAGCTTCGACCATGCCCAGGATACCTTGCAGGACACTTCCAAGATCAGACACCCCAGAAGGAAAAACTTGCGTGCTGTGGCAGCGTGGCCCCTTCTTCCAGATACTTCTATGATGGACACCAAGTACTTGTCGGTCAAGTTCACCGGTTCAGCCTCTGTGTTCAGAGAATTGCAGAGCGCCAAGCGTTTGCAAAAAGATGCTTACGACGAACAACTACAACAGGATGCATTGTCCACGGCAGTCTACAAGCCAATCACATCCGAGGACGGTGAATGGGTCAGTTTCTACCAGGCTAAGGACAAGGCTTCCTTGGATGCGCTTAAGGAGAAGTTGCAGTCTACAGAGAGAGAGCAGCCGCTGAATCTTCTAGACGAAGAGGAGCAGGACTTGGAGCTGTTCTCTTTTGCTCATCACAAAAACTACGATATGGTTTACCATCGTTTCAACAAACCCGACGAGGAGCTTGCTTTGAGGTTTGTTCCAGAGCTGGCTGGTTCCAAGAAACGTCGTGCCGCCTACTACTACCCTATTTCCGGCCGTGTCGAGCTCAAGAAGCACCGTGCATCGGCCAATACCGAAATCAACAAGTTCTTACGTGACAGCACTTTTGATATCATCGACTTGAAGATCAGAGAGCCTAATACTAGTGAGTTGAAGCGCATGGACAACATCCGTTCCGAGTACGACCCTATGGAGTACGAAGGTGAGGATGAAGAAGAGGAAGAAGACGAGGAGGAAGTTGCTGAGAATGGTAACGACGACCATAAAGACGAGTCTCCAGAGAAGAGCCAGCAACCAGAAAACGGCTCGAAGGACGAGTCCGGTAACGACAGCGAGTAGATTCATGTATTATAAATTGAGGAAGTACCACAGTGTATTGTTACAGAGGACCCAGGGGCCGCCTCTTTGAAATGAATAAAAAAACAGTTCTTGATGCCAAATGTCTCACAAATGCAGCCGTCATCCAGTGAAGGCCTATACCACAACACACAGAAGTTTGCTCTTCTTGGGCACATCCAGATTGTCATTCTTGGCGTGCTTCTCCTTCTTCTCTGTCTTCTCTTTCGGGAGAGCTGGTGTACGTTTCTCGTACTTCTTTTGCATCCGTTGAGCCATTGCAGCATCCTCCTCTTCCTGGAGTTGTCTCACGAGATTCAAGTCCTCATGGTTATTGAACAGCCCCAGGTCCGAGTTCTCCAGAATTGGCACAAAGTTACCAGCAAAGAACAAGTCCTCGCTGCCTGAAACCAGCACCATCAGCTGCCAGACACACTTGCCCAGAAGAGACAGATCCGTCACAAGCAGATAGAAATCATGGTCGTGAGCTTTGTAGATTGTCATGAAGTGGTTGTTGCGGAAGAAGACTGCCAACGAGTCTGGGGCAATCTTCTCGTCAAGTAGTTTGAGTCCATGAGCTGTCAATTGGGTGGAATGATTATCAAGCCACTGTTGAATGTCTGCCTTGGCAGCAGGGTCCTCTTCTGGGTGGAGTAAAAAGTCCTGGATGTCATCGAATGTCTGGAGACGTTTGAAGTAGTCCTTACGAGGATCCACCAACGGATCCCAAATCCAGCCATGAACAAAATGGAGCCCAAAAGCATCGAAGATCTCAGAGCTCAAGTCTCTTGGGAAGCCGCCACGGTACACGTTGGGATTGACACTCAAACCGGTGTGGAGAAGGGGAAGGTTCTCCAAAAGACGGTTCACGACAGACAGATCGTCGTACACATCAAGCAAGACATCACCCAAACAAGCCAAAACCTCGTTCAACGGCACGTTCTGATCAAGGTGGCGGTGTAAAAGTGCCCTTATTTTGCCTATACTTTCCGTATGGCGTGCGGCTCCACCCACACTTTTGCTCTTTGGATTGAAATCGGCTTCACGCTGAAGGATATCGTTTTGCAAGAGAAGTGTGTTCACAAGAGCTATCAAGGGGCAAGGTCCATTGGCCTCCTGGAGAAGAATGGGGGTTTCGTGTTCGTACTGAGACCAGGTAATCCGCTTTACAGCGAAAGCAATCTCTTCAGCCATGCTTTGGATATGATGACGATTCGTTAGATGATAGGAAATGAGGATTCTTGGACGACCAGATCGGTTTTCCTCGTGATTGACAATTCAATGCTCGTCTAAGCTTTCGATTGTAATCGGCTCACAATGGGCGGAATTGGAGATACGTAGATCTTCTGAATACTAGAAATGTCCAGACTTCAACGCTTTCTAACAAAAACAGTCAATCAGTTGACACCTCTCAAAAGACCAGTGCGACTAACGTTCTGCTATATTGCTTTTTGTTTTCCCCTGAAGCCAAGCTTCGAATTTAGGTTTTGTGGCGTTGTTTACGGTAACTTTAGGGAAGAAGCTGCCGTGATTCCGATGACGCGATAAAAGACCAGATCTTTTGGAAATTGACCTGACAACAGTGGAAGATCTCTAGATCCTTATATTGTGCTCAAAAGAAGACAAGTATGATATTAAAGGGAAAGTAGTGTGTGCTTATCTACTCCTGTACGTCATGCCATCATGGATGGGATTACTACATAGCCGAGCCACACGGTACAGGACCGGAGACAATCGGAACCAAGGCACCAAGAAATCAACCTAGAAGAAAATTCAGCGTTAATCGTTTCAGTTGAGCACCCACCTCACAAAGGATACGAGCGCAATGAAGGCAGCCACAAGCAGCAAGTCACACATTGCTGTCTCTGAGCTGACCTGCTTGGCGATCTTCATGTCGAAATCACCACGTTTGAGAATGTTCTCTGCAATGGGCTTGGGCGCTCTTTCAGCACCAGCAGGCACAGCCTTGGGGCTGGGGTACATGTCCTCGCAAAACTGCTCAATCTCGCCGAGCTTGATGCCAAGTTTCAAGTAGTTGGGGTCCTTAACGTCCAGCTTTTTGTTGATAACGCGCACGTAGTGCTTGAAAATGTTCACCACATCTGGGAGCGTCCTGGAATTAAGAATGAGCTTGCATGTGGTTCCCTTTCTGATCTTCACATTACGCTCCAACACCTCTCTGTTGTTGAAAATCTCTGCCAAGGTGGCAATGGCCATCACCTGAGGAATGGCGCAGAAGTTGAAACTGGTGGATTCCGTGATCAATGACAAGTAGGTCAACACGTCAGTAACGTGGCCCAACGCGTTCAACACCAACTCGTTGATACAGTGCACGCCCAGTTCTCTCTCGCTCTCGTTCTTGTGGAAGTTAAATAAAGCATCAGTGTACTTGGACCAAATGTCTTTAGGGTAGAAGGACCGGCCGTCCTCCATGTCCTCGTGGTAGTCACGAATGATGTTGGTTTTCTGCAAAAACAAACCCATGCTCTCGGACAAGCGGTAATCTTCGGCTTGCACCTGCTTGTCGGCAAATCCTGCCAAAACCATCAAGTCAGACAAGCCCTCGCCGACCAAGCCAGCCACGTAGTGGCAGTACAAGTCAAAGTCAGCAACGGTAGCCACGCCATTCGTATTAAAGTTCTCGTCCACAATGTAGTCTGCCATACCGTTGCCCATCTTGAGTGTGATCTTCTTGACAATGTCCTGGTGCTCGGGCTTCAAGCGGTGGTACTCGGCCAAGATGGTGTCAAACTCCACCAACACGGCTCTGTCCTTCTCATCGGGCCCGCTGCCGGTGAAAGTGTAGTCCTTTGTGTTAAGCTTTTCGTGGAAGGTACGCAACAACGGCACCTTTATCAGCGGGTCGATCGTCATGTCATCCTCAATGGTGTCCAAAGCCCTTAGCACCAAGTAGAAGATCATGGTGGAATCACGCAACTCAGGGTGCAATTCCTTGATCACGGAAGCAAAGGACCTGGAAGTCGCGTCCAAAAGCTCGTAGGAACGTTTCAATGTCTGAGGAGACTCGGATAGATCGTGCGGGTGGGATGATTCCCTAAACAACTGAAGCTGCACCACCGCCTTGAGTTCGGTTGGGTGGGTAAGCAATTGAAGGAGTTTTCCCATGGTAGGCTATGTAAGTCAGCAGATAAAATGAAGGAATTCTTTCGCTAATCTGATAGCAAATGTGGTTCCACCGAGATGAGAGTGGAGGTTTTTTCTCAGCTTTTCTGACTTTTGATGTCGCGCTCGATACCAGCTATACGAGAGGAGCAGCGATAGCGGTGCGCAACACACAGGTCTAACCTAAGACGCTTCACGGAGCGTGTCTGTAGACAATAGTAATTTAAATTTCTTTTCGAAGACGGGGTTTTGATTGCATTACCGGATGAAGCTGGAAGGGTTGTTTATGAAGAAGCCGATTTTCGGACTAGGGTAGTGCTGTATTGTAGTGTTGTAGCGTCGTATCCCCCGAATTGGATCAGGGCAACTTCAACAAGGGGTAATTCCAAGGAGCCGGTCACGTAGACTATCAACGATTGCCGTAAACGTGTCAAAGATTGGAAATTATTGCCTTTTTTATGAATGGTTGTAAAGGTCCATATTGTTTCGAGTGCCAAGCAAGGAACCGAGGAAAGTTGAAGGAGCCAATATAGGGCTTTCCATTCAGATGGAAAAAACCCCACCTCTACTTTGTGTTCTCAATCTTCTCAAACCAATGACGGGCAGCCTTGATGTTTTCAAGAATGACAAGATCCTCGCGTGCATTCACGTAACTCTGTTCAGCCACACGATCCTTAAGCACAATCATAATGAATAAGTTATCTGTAAGCACGTCCACATAGAAGCTTGTGCCGTTAGAGCCGCGGATGACGAGGTTGTTGAAGCTTGTTCTCAATTTGGTGATCAGCTGCTTGTATGTTTTGATGATATTGGAAATTTTCTCGAAACGCTTGGGATCCAAGGAATCGACAGAGCCATTGAGAGGCCCGGAACGCTGGGTCTGTCGCTGGATTGAAGCCGTCGACGATATGACCAAAAACGTTGTTTTCTCGAAAAGAATGATCTCTTCAGCGTCCAACACCTCGTTGAACCGCAACAAGTTGGAGTGGAAGAGGTCCATATTGGGGAACAACAGGCACACAATCAGCGACCAGGCTTTGTACAAGGATTCGTCCCAGATGGAGGTGGGAAAACCCACGAGCTTGAACTGGTAAGGGTTCGAGATCTTTTGGAGCTTGTCCATCATAATCACAAACAACTCCTCTCTCTTGTCGATCTGGACCAAGTCCATCTTATGAAGCAAAACAAAGATTTTGGCATCAGGACTGAACTTCTGCAAATTCGTAAGCGACTTGACAAAGATATCAATGTCCTTGTTGATCAGCTTCAGCTCCACGTCGAACACATGTATAAGCACCTGCACCATTTTGAAAATATGGTCCTTCTGTGTCGTGAAGTAGTTGTCCATAAACACGTCTTGTCCTCCACAATCCCACAAATTAAGCGTCATGTTTCCCAAAAACCGAAGGTGAGAGTGTTCCACATCAATAGTGGCACCCAAACGCCTGGTGTCAAAAGCGGAGTAGTTGGAGAAAATGATGGAACGCATGGACGACTTTCCCGAGCCGGAACGGCCCATAAGAAGGAGCTTTTTTCGGGAAGACAGCGACATTGGAACGGTTTCTATGGCTTCTAGTAGTTGCGATGGTTAGACACTGCTTGATAAGCGGTTTGGCGAGTGCACCCGTACACCACGGAAACGGCACCCAAGAGCCGTGTAAGGTGGGGCACTGGAGGGGGTGGATTAAATGGGTTTTTTGATTTTTGAATTATTGGAGGGTGTGTTTTTGATGGTTGCGGTTTAAGAAAGTTGTTTGTAGAGGAGGTAGGGATGTTTGTTTATCTGTTGATTAGGGTACCTTGAGGCGAGGACTTACCGGCAGTTTCGGCGTTTAGAGGCGACGATGAATGAAGGGGATTTGGTTTGATTTGCAATTGAA